TGAAATGGCGGTCATATACATGTAAAACAACATATACTCGTAAAGTATTATGTTACAAGGATTTTATGAGAAGGATTTTGTTATTTTTGCACTGAACCATTGTAGAGTTTTCTAACTTTAATAGACACCTTTTTGGGTTGTGATATAAACCAAAACAACCCAATGAGGTGTGTATTAAAGATTTACTTTCCTGTTATCCCAGAATCTGCTTGGAACTGTACTCTTGGATTTCTATGGGAAATTCCTCAGAGAAAAGTCTAGGGATTAAGGAATGGGTACCATTTACACAATTTGAGAAACTATTATATTATCTATATTCAAAAGCGAACAGGGTCAATGATTCCCAGTCCTCTGAAGTTTGAAAAATGAAAATACCTGACTGTAAATCCATAGATAATCCTTGAAAAAAAGAAATATTTTGGGGGATTATATGGTGCAATCTATAGTCGTCCTTGCTACAGTCAATAAAATGTTTTAAAGTGTATTGATGTTTTTTTGTTCCACATGCCATTAGCCTAGGTCAAGCCAAGTAATTTGACTAGACTCGAAAGTCGCATGTTATTCTCCATCTAATATTACTGGGAATACATTGGACCATAATTCCATTTGCATTTTTGAGCTTATTTTATTAGCAGGCATTTGTCTGATGTAGATCCAAATCTGAAGGTTCCATTCCAAAAATGTGACGTCAGCACCTTGGGGGTTCACTGTATATATACCGTGATGGGGATCCTCAGCGATCATGAGGTACCTTTTTTGACATTTGGTAAGGCAATTGACCCAAATTTTAGGACCTGGTATAAAATCTCCCCACATTATGACTTCTGAGATATGGCAATGGACAGATTTTCCACTTCCTGGTACGAGAATGGTCCCTGAAAATATGTTACCTCACACCTTACTATATTTGCACATAGCCATCATTAGATTGATGGCTATGCAAAACTTGATATTCCCAGTCTGTTTTAAAGGTCTTTTGAAAAATGTAAGAAATTTTGGAAACACGCTACTTCACTCGATGTATAACATTCTAAAGTATTGTTTTTCTAACCATATCGGGCTATCCGGAGTGGAAGAGGAAATATTTTGATGAAAATCTGATCGGAGTTGATCATTTTCAAGATGGCTTTTCAGGAAGTTGAGTAATGCGCATGCGCCTCCATGCCATGAGATTTCCGCTTCCGGTTATATGCATGCGCATTGGCCAGACTTCCTGGTTAGAAAATATGGAAAATAATACGTTCCAAATACATTTTTCGTCAATTATACTGTCTCCCGACTCCGGATCGCATGATATGGTTAGGAAAACAATACTTTTGAATGTTATGCATCGATTGAAATAGTGTACGTGTTCCCACGATTTCTTACATTTTTGTAAAAGACCTTTAACATGGACTGGGTATATAAACATATCCAAAGCTATCTCTCAGGAGATAGCTTTGTGCAAACTAAGTAACCTCACACCTGTGGTATGGCATTGGTCTAGTAGCATGCCCGTAGCAAGCTTTTTGTAAGGGGGGGCTCGAAACCCCTCCCCTCCCACCCCCCGACGCAACCCCCCCCCCAAAAAAAAGAATTCCCCATGCTAAACAAAGTCCTTTGTATTGTAAAGGACAGTGGCGGATCCGGAAGCTAACAAGGGGGACCAACATTTCAAGTCAGGAAAAAATATCTGCGCTTGTACGGAAAAACTTTTTAGGGCCCTAAAACCCAAATTTATGCCAAAATTTAGAAAATTTCTGGCACGTTTTTTGAAAATTTGGCCTAAAATTGAAAAAATATGGCCCAAAAAGGTCAAGTAATACCCAAAAAGGCTACATTTTTTCTGGGCCCATCATAGGGCAGCGCAGAAAATTTAATCTTTTAGGGCCCTTAAACCAAAATTTGGGGCAAAATTCTAAAAATTAGCCCATTATTTGAAAATTTGGCCTAAAATTCAAAAAATAAGGCCCAAAAAGGTCAAGTAATGCCCAAAAAACCCCACTAAAGAGGCCCTACAATATCTTTGGGCCAACATTTTTTTTCTGGTCCAATCCTATGGCCGCGTAGAAAACCTTTTAGGACCCTAGAACCAAAATTATGAGAATTTATGACCCGTTTTTTGAAAATTTGGCCTTAAAATTGAAAAAATAAGGCCCAAAAAGGTCAAGTAAAAAGGCCAACTAAAGAGGCCCTACAATAGTTTTGGCCAAACAATTTTTTTCTAGGCCCATCCTAGGGGCCAGCGTAAAATTTTTAGGGCCCTAAAACCAAAATTCGGGCAAAAATTTAGAAAATTTATGGCCCCTATTTTGAAAATTTGGCCTTAAATTGAAAAAAATAAAGCCCAAAAAGGTCAATTAATGCCCAAAGAGGCCCACTTAAGAGGCCCAGAAAAAATATCTGGGCCAACATTTTTTTCTGGGCCCATCCTATGGCCGCGCGGAAAACCAAAATTATGAGAATTTATGGCCCGTTTTTTTTAAATTTGGCCTAAATTTGAAAAAATAAGGCCCAAAAAGGTCAAGTAAAAAGGTCAAGTAAAGGCCAACTAAAGAGGCCCTACAATATTTTTGACCAAATATATTTTTTCTGGACCCATCCGTGTGTAAAAATTTTTAAGGCCCTAAAACCAAAATTTTGAAAATTTGTAGCCCGTTTTTTTGAAAATTTGGCCTGAAATTGAAAAAATAAGGCCCTATAAGATTAATTAATGCCAAAAAAGGCCCATTAAAGAGGCCCTACAATATTTTCGGGCCAACATTTTTTTCCGGGCCCATCATAGGGGGCGGCCCCATGCCCCCCCCCCCCTGGAACCGCAAGAAGAAGAAGGCTATGTTTAACAAATCACAAAGGATGATCCTAAAAAACAGAGGGAAAGGGGCACAAATATCTCCGCGAAAAAAAATTGGGCCAAATTTTGGAAAATAATGCCAAAATTTGAAAAACAATGCACAGTAATGCCAGTTTTTTAATCTTAATTGCCTAGTGAATGTGGGGAAGAGCAAGTTTTTCTTCAAGGAAGCAAAAAGGTAGGTCCACATTTTTTTAAGGAGATATCAGGGGGGGGGCTCGGACGAGCCCTCAGAGCCCCCCCTGGCTACGGGCCTGTAGTAGTTACACATATCCTTAATTTGAGGTTGTTTTGGAATGTTTTCCTCAAAGATCGCCTACTTCTCGGATTCTTCTTCAGTGTAAATATAAGCTTTTTTCCTGGGAAGTATTCTACTTTTGACCAATTATAGCATTGGTCCTTATATTTATTAAACATTGGTGGTAGAGCCCATGGTCTTATATTTGGACATTTGAATTTGTTATGGCTTTTGAGTGTTATATAGGTTGGTATGGGAACACATCGAAATTTGACAAATTGGTATGGGAACATATTGATATCTCAGGCTTCAGTCTAGGACCCGGGGGGTTCACTGTATATAAAACTCGACGGGGGTCCTAGGCTGAAGCCTCAAATATCAATATGTTCACATACCAATCTGTCAAATTTCAATATGTTCACATACCAACCAAAATAACGCCCAAAGGCCATACCAAATGTCCAAATATAGGACCAATGCCATACCAAATGTCTAAATATAGGACCAATGCCATACCAAATGCCCAATTATGGGACCAATGCCATACCAAATGTCAAAATGTAAGACAAATGCCATACCAAATGTCCAAATATGGGACCAATGCCATACCTTAATTCAAAGTAAATGAAATATAGGATCAATGTCATACAAATGTGCAAATACAGGACCAATCGCCATACCTCAAATCAAGGACAAATGCCATACTGTAGTTGGGGTCATAAATGACCAAAATAACACGACTCACACTTTTACTCATAGCGATACATCACATAAAATGTTCGGATTCAGTTAAATATATTTTATTTTTAACATCTTACTCTTATCTATACCATAAGCTTCAAATTGTTGGAAATCAACCACTTTTCGAATCGAGCGTCCATTTTTCTTGGCGGCAAGTTTTGTATTGAAATCACGAAAAATCTCGCGAGACTTCATCAAAGCCTATGATTGGTCCTCATTTCCCGGGAAAAGGGCTAAAATTCAAAAGTTGAAGAAGGCCCTGGAAAAGAAGATACTTCAGGAAACAATCCAAAACAACTTCAAATTTGCAACTACTGGACCAATGCCATACCACGAATGTTAGGTAACGTATCTACAACGACCATTCTCATACCAGAAGAGCAAAAGTCCGACCATTGCCATACCTCTGAAGTCAGAAATTTCCGGGCATCCCGGCATTCCCACCAAATCCTAAAATATGGGTCCATTGCCATACCAAACGCTGAAAAGGGTACCCCACATGCGCCGAGGATCCCCATCAAGGTTTATATATAGTGAACCCCCCGGGGTCTAGGACCCCCGCCGAATTTTGTACACAGTGACCCCCCCCCTGGCGTTTGGATAACAATGATATTTGGACAAACAGGCTCCCGGGAAGAGATTAGGTGTCTCATCTTGAGGAATATTTATTGAGCTTCTGATCCTACAATACAAAAGAATTTTGCCAGCATCTATGATGTCAAATAACAGCTTTGAAAAATAATCTCCAGTGCAATTTTTAATTTTTTGACAGGTTTACACTTTCCTTTTATATTCTCATAATGGATCAGAACGAGATAATCTATTGGTTGGACTATACTGTTTATATTGTAAATATACTTACAAATGTGTTGTTTTGTTTACTGAAACGCATATGTCTTAACTTTTGCTTTCTTTTCCAAATATTCACCTTGCAATAACTTTCTCGCACTTTCTGGATCTAATTCTATTCGATCTGCGCATGCTCATAAACATAAATGTCTCAAACATTAGAATGCATCTATTATGACCTAAATAAACGTATATTTCTTCTACCAGTTAAAATTTGACAAACTCCCATTGAGAAATATAAAAAGCTTTCTATTTCATGTCTTTCACTTGAACTGAATGAAGCTTTTAGTCGCGAAAAGAAGAAAATCTGCTTAGTCATCTCTGACAAATCAATTAGGACAACAGCCTCGTTTTGAATTTACAATTTAAAAATATTAATTTTGAAATTAGATATTTCACGCTTTATATAGTTGTGCGTGATTCAAACACTTTGGAGCTGTAGTGCTATATCCAAAGTCTTCCCAGGAATTATGTGGGCATCCAAAGAATTGTATGGTAAGCCTTCTTGCTTCTTTTTCTTCTTTTATTCTTGAGCATGAATAAAAATTCAATAATTTTTTTAGATCTAGGCTCGGCCAAGGTTACCTTCTTCTAAGGCCACTGTATCGCGGCCTTCCAGTAAAGATATATTCCTGCATGAACAACTGGTCATGTCGTAATCATAAAATTTGAAATCATATGTCCGCCATTTTTCCACATCACAATTTGAATTGCGAGTTTTGGTCTTATTACCTCACCAAAAATTCCAAAACACACATATACAGTTGGGGACATAAATAAATGACAGGTGGATTTGCTGAAGTGAGGATTTCCCATGTTAAAAATAAGAGAATTTACAAGAGGCCATACATCAGTGGATGTGATTATACAAAATGTAAAATATACAAATTTTAAGGGATATATATCTAGACAATATTGGAAATTATGGGCTTTCAGACCACCATAATTAGGAAATGGTGATCGAAAATCGACCTGTCATTTATTTTTGTCCCCAACTGTAGTGATCAGTGTATTAGTTCACATCTTCTGGATCGCTAACTAAGAATTTACAGCCAGTCAGAGTCCATTCACTGTTTAACTGCGTCAGTAAAAGCTACAAAATTAGAAATCAAAATATCATTTTGCAATGATATATGGAAAAATATATTCCTATTGTACATGAATGACATTTGTATATCTTGGATTGCTTCTAGTTTGGCTTATAAAGTGTGTGGCCTCTTATATTTGGATGCTTCTCTGCCATGTTATTTTCAATAAGATTAACATGGCTGAAATTCTTCAAATTACAAGACGGCACAGGCTTATTGCACAAAAAACTAAAAAATCTGAAATATACAAATGTCATTCATATACATTATGAATAGACTTTTCCATATATTATTGCACAATGGTCTCCCAATTTCTTATTTTTGCCGTTCTACTGACGCAATGAAGCAGTGAAATGGACTCTACTAATGTCAGACGTTAACGACATTTCGTCCAGTTTTCGAACATCGCCATTTTTCTTGGAGCCATTTTGTTTTAATTTTAGATGAAATCATGTCATATCTCATCAAAGAGCCGAGCGAGGTCCGTTTTGATTAATGATTTATTTATCTGGCGATTTTTAAAATATTCAATAAATTTATGACACGGCGGCCAGCTTTTTTCAAATGGAGATCACAGTATTCCAGATGAAATCCCCTCTAGCCAAGTATTGGCTAGCGACTCGAGTAAGGCCAAGGTTACCTTCTTCTAAGGCCACTGTATCGTGGCCTTCGTTCAAAGATAAATTCCCACATGTATAACGGGTCATGTAGTAATCATAAAATTTGAAATCAAATGTCCGGCATTTTTCCACATCACAATTTTAATTGCGAGTTTTGGTCTTATTACCTTACCAAAACTTCCAAAACACACAAGTCATGAAGTGATCAATGTATTAGTTCACATCTTCTGGATCGCTAACTTAAAATTATCAGCCAGTTACTACTGTCAGACATTAACAACATTTCATTCAGTTTTCGAAAATCGCCATTATTCTTGGAGCCATTTTGTTTTGATTTTAGATGAAATCCTAATGAAATCACGCAATATCTCATCAAAGAGCCGAGCCGGTCCCGTTTTAATTAATGATTAATTTATATGGTTATTTTTGAAATATTCAATAAATTTATTACACGCCGGCCAGCTTTTTTCAAATGGAGTTCATAGTATTCCAGATGAAATTACCTCTATCCAAGAATTGGCTAGAAACTCGAGTTAGGCAAAGGAAAATTGGCTCCCAGGATCGAAACTCAATATTTTCCAACAAATGAAAACATTTAACTAATTCAAAATAAACATGTCAAAAGACAATACTTTTTTTTCAATTTAATGAGCGATTAATCAGTGCTTCCATGGGCTTCATAACGGCAACATAATGGCAACAATTCAGTCTCATATTTGACTCTCGAAAACTCCACATAATTTATGTAATTTATTTTGGGTTTTTGCGTGTTGCTCTATTGTGGATGCAGTAGATGGGAAACTTGGCAGTGTTTAACGAAATCACCTTTCTAAATAATACCAAAATTATACATAAGTCAAAAGTGCTTTCCCTAGATGTGGATAAAACCAAAACAATCTTCTTCGGTCCTCACAAAGAAATCTTCTGGTAAGGGACCAATCAAATTGCTTAGATGGATGCATGAAGTGTGCATATAATTGTAAGACTCATTGAAAGTGAACTTTAATATGCCTTATATGTATGCTGATTATTTTCTTACAGATCGATTATTAGACAATTGGGAGCAGTCCGAGACTAGTAATGGTATTCCATACTATCTTAAGTAAGTTATTTTTGCACAGTTTTGATAGTTTAGACAGTTCATTATAGTCCACACGGGGTCTGTATATCAAAATGATACTATAGGTCATTGATTGAAGTTTTCATTTTTTGCATATACAATTGAAAGTAGAGAATCATTATAGGAAAATACATCTGAAAGACATTATATAGTAGAAAAGAGTTAATATGTTGAGAGACCTTCTGCTCTCTAATGAATACTGTAAATGAAAACCACATCAGATATTCATGATTTATTTCCAGCCACAAAACTGAAAGGACTCAATGGGACCATCCATTTTTTGTTAAGACTTTAGAAGAATTAGGTATGTATTTCCCAATGGATGTATTCAATCAAACTTGATAATACGACAGTAAACTCTGTGAATGTGATAACCCTAAATGTGAGTATTTTTCAAAGCCAGATACAGTATTATATTTTGTATATATATTTTTCCCCAGTTTACAAATATACATAGTACAGCTATCAATGCAAACACAGTAGAATTACTAATGGACATCATATTTATAGTTTCAGCAAAAAGTGTTCTGAGTACTAATTTTATTGTAAGGTTTTGGTGAAGCAGTTGCCTCCCATGCCTGACTTCACCCATGCCTGACTTCACCCATGCCTGACTTCACCCATGACTGACTTCACCCATGTCTGACTTCACCCATGCCTGACTTCACCCATGACTGTAAACTGTATATTGTTTCAGATGACTTCAACAATGTTAGGTATGCTGCCTACAGGACTGCATTGAAGTTGAGGTTTATACAAAAAAGATTATGTTGTGAGTATTTTGTTTTGTTTCCTTCAAGTCTGGTGTGAACTATGAATAAAGAAATGTTCCATTGATTCATGATACTGTATTTTTAGGGGATATTCTTGAAAAATTTGAATTTGATGAAAATTTACATTGTCAAGTAAACTGAGATAAACATGTGTCCTAATATGTTTCAGTGGATCTGTTGGACATACATACCATCCATGAAGTGTTTGAAGCCAGGGGAATCAAGGATGATGAAGACCCTGTATTGGACATTTCAGAATTGACTGATATACTCAACCAAATGCTGTATGATGCTAAACTTGGCTATAAGAATCTTAGGCCTGATCAGGCCTCTGATTTATTGCTCAACTGGATTCTTAATTTATATGATATGTAAGTATAAAGCTTTGAAAATTATAATACTCTAAGAGCGAGGAGGAAAATTCTTAATAAATGGAGTATAGTTGGTTTGGCAGCATTTTCAGTTAGGGGGAAGTCTTGGATGAAAATTCTACCTAGGTGATAGCTTCACAGAGTGGTACATAATTTTTTTTTTTCAGGGATTAGCCCCCCACCCCCCAAAAACACCCCATTCCGGTAAAATAATTTTTTCATTCTCAATAACTTTAGATATCTTGATGTTTGTAAGTTACATACATAGACATTATATATGTGAATCATTTGAAAAACAAATAATGCCAATCACTCCCTACAGATTTGAAAAATAGTACAAAGTGTGTACCCTAGGGGGCAAATTCGTGACCCATTTTCTTACTTTTTAGAGCCTCACTTTTCAATTAGACACTGGAAGACATTGGAAAAATTCATGTGAAGTGCCTAGTAGCAGGCCTATGAGCCCTGAAAGGTTCAAAGTAATTGAATCAGTAGGAGCCAAGAAAAAAATTGTTAAATTTTTGAAAATTTTGACATTTTCGAGATGGGTGATTTTGTGTATGACTATAGCTGACGCTTATAGTTTCTAGATCCATCCCTCTTTGATGTTAAATAATAAATATGGTTTTAAAGTGTAGAACTAAGATGTAAAAAATAATTAAAATGGGTTTTAAGGAAGTTTAAAGTTTTAAATAAGTCCAAAATTTGAAGAATTGTACAATATCAGGTCTGAATTTACGAATTTCAGGTATGACCTTGGATGACCCTTATGTTTTTTATATCTGTCCCTCTTTGATGATATTTATGGTTTTTTAGTAACAAACTAAGCTGTAAAATATAATTTAGATGGATTTTAAGAATGTTTAAGGATTTTAACAAGTCAAAATTTGAAGAATTGTACTATCAGGTCTGAATTTATGAATTACAGGTAAGACCTTAGGTGAGCCTTATATTTTTTACATCAGTCCCTCTTTGATGATATGTATTGTTTTGTAGTGTGGAACTAGGATGTAAAAAACAATTAAGATGGATTTTAAGGAGGTTGTAGGATTTTCACAAGTTCAAAATTTGAAAAATTGTACAATATTAGGTCTGCAATTAACACATTTCAAGTATAACCTTGGTTGGTTCTCATGATTTTTACACCTATCCCTTTTCATGATATATTTGGTTTAGTAGTGTTGAAATAATATGTATAACATAATTTGCATGGGTTTTAAAAAAACTAAATGTTTTAAAAAAGTTCAAAATCTTGGCGAATTGTACAATATCAGATCTGAAATTAACAGATTTCAAGTATAACCTTTGTTGGCCCTTATGTTTTTAACATCCCTTTTTGATGATATATATGGTTTAGCAGTGTGGATCTAAAAGGTAAAACATAATTAAAATGGGTTTTAAGGAGGTTTAAGGTTATAAACAAGTTCAAAACTTGACAAATTGTACGATATGAGACCTGAAATAAACAAATTTCAGGTATAGCCTTAGATGAGCCTTATGTTTTTACATATATCTCTCTATGATAACATATATGGTTTTGTAGTATGGAACTAAAGTGTAAATCATAATTTAGATGGGATTTGTGTAAGTTTTAGGTTCTAAAGAGGTTCAAAACTTGACAAATTGTACAATATCAGGTCTAAAATTAACAAATTTCAGGTATAGATTTGAATGATCCTCATGCTCTTTACATTCTAAACCTCTTTGATGATTTACATGGTTCTGTAGTGTGGGACTAAAATGTAAAACATAATTTAGGAATTTGGGGTTTTAAGGAAGTTTAACCCTAATGTCTGCAGGGGAGGGGGGGGGGGTCAAATTGACCTACCCCTCTGTTTTTTAAATGGTACTTTTTGCAAGTTTTTCTTGTGCCATCATTATTATTTTTAGCTTGAGCCACAGATAAATGACACCTTTTGGTTTAAAGATCAAGGTGATTGGGGGTACAGGTGCAAAGTTATGATAGTCCGAAGTTGATCCCAATAAAAATGAATTTATGAAACATTGATGGTTACTCTGTTTTTAATACTATAAAAAATGCAAAATGATGATAATTTCTCGATAATCATTTAGCAATAAGTAATAAATATAAACCTCCTTAAAACCCCAAATTCCTAAATTTTGTTTTACATTTTAGTTCCACACTACAAAACCATGTAAATCATCAAAGAGATTAAGAATTTCAGACCTAATATTGTACAATTTGTTTTGTTTTGAACTTCTTGAAAACCTTAAAGAGAGAATCAGATCCATTTTGAATATTTCTGGCTTATGTCATTCCTTTTCATGTCTATTTGCTAAAAATCCCCAAAGTGCACTTTGGGCATTACCATTCTTATTATTTTGGGAGTATTTAAACACTTTTCCCCCATTTTTGCACTTTGAATCCATTATAACTTCATCAGTTTTTAACACATCATGAATCTTTTTAAAGATATTGTATTTAAGATTGTAAGGAATAGATTGGTAGGTGAATTGTACATGTTGCTTGTAATTTTATCACCCCTATAGATCTGATTCTGCCTTTTAACTTCCTTAAAACCGATCATTCTAAATTATGTTTTACATCTTAGTTCCATACTACTAAACCATATATATTATCATAGAGAGATACATATATCATAGAGAGATATATATACCTGAAATTCGTTAATGTCAGATATGATATTATACAATTTGTCAAGTTTTGAACAGCTTTAAAACCTCAAACCTTCTTAAAACCCATCTAAATTATGTTTTACCTCTTAGTTCCACACTACTATATATTACCAACCATATATTATATAATCATTGAGAGCTAGATGTAAAAAACGAATAAGGGCCATCCACAGTTATACCTAAAATTAATAAATTCCAGACCTGTTATTGTACAATTCTTCATATTTTTAACTTGTTTAAAACCTTAAACTTGTTTAAAACCTGTCTAACTTATGTTTAATATCTTAGTTCAACACTACTAAACCATATATGCCATCAAAAAGGGATAGGTGTAAAGAAACATAAGGCTCGTCCAAGGTAATACCAAAAATTCATTAATATCAGCTCTGATATTGTACAATTCGTAAAAATTTGAACTTGTTGAAATCCTTAAACTTCTTTAAAACCCATCTTAATTATGTTTTACATAATAGCTCCACACTACTAAACAATATATACATATATCATCAAAAAGGGATAGATGTTAAAAATATAGATATGGAATGGATATATAAGGGCCAAGCAAGATTATACTTTAAATTCGTTAATTTCTGATATTGTACAATACGCCAAGATTATGAACTTGTTTAAAACGTTAAGCTTCTTTAAAACCTATCTAAATTATGTTTTACATATTTCCACACTACTAAACCAAATATATCATGAAAAGGGGATAGGTTTAAAAAACATATGGGCCAACCAAGGTTATACTTGAAATTTGTTAATTGCAGACTTGATATTGTACAAATCTTCAAATTGTTTAAATCCTTAAACCTTCTTAAAATGCATCTAAATTATTTTTTACATCATAGTTCCACACTACAAAACCATACATATCATCAAAGAGGGACAGATGTAGAGAATATAAGGCTCATCCAAGATCTTACCTAAAATTTGCAAATTCAAACCTGATATTGCACAATTCTTCAAAACATGTTGGTATACTAAAACCTTCTCAAAATTCATCTAAATTATATTTTACATCTTAGTTCCATACCATAAAACCAGGAATATCATCAAAGGGGGATATAGATGTAAAATATAGATGTAAAAAACAAAAGGGTCGTCCACAGTCATACGTGAAATTAAAAAATAACGATCTGATATTATACAATTCTTCAAATTTTGGACTCATTAAAATCCTTAAACACTCTTCAAAACCATCTTAATCATTTTTGCATCTTAGATCCACACTACAAAACAATACATATCATCAAAGAGCTGAAAGACTGACAGATGTAAAAATATAAGGTCAATCCAAGGTCTTACCTGAAATTTGAAAATTCAGACCTGATATTGTACAATTCTTCAAATTTTGAACTCATTAAGATCCTTAAACCTTCTTAAAATTCATCTACATTATATTTTACATCTTAGTTCCACACTATAAAATCATGAATAACATCAAAGAGGGAAGGATTTAAAATACGTAAGGCTCGTCTAAGGTCATACCGGAAATTCATAAATTCAGACCTGATATTGTACAATTCTTCAAATTTTGGACTCATTTAAAATCCTTAAACCTTCAAATCCATCTAAATTATTTTTACTCATTAGTTACACACTACAAAACCCTACATATCATCAAAGAGGGACAGATGTAAAAAATATAAGGCTCATCCAAGGTCTTACCTGAAATTCATAAATTCAGACCTTATATTGTACAATTCTTCAAATTTGGGATTTGTTAAAATCTTTAAACCACCTAAAAAAACATCTAAATTATTTTGTACATCTTAGTTCCATACTACAAAACCATAAATATCATCAAAAGGGGACAGATGTAAAAAATCTAAGGCTCATCCAAGGTCTTACCTAAAATTCGTAAATTCAGACCTGATATTGTACAATTCTTCGAATTTTGAACTTGTTTAAAACTTTTAACTTCCTTAAAACCCATTTTAATTATTTTTTACATCTTAGTTCAATACTTCAAAACCATATTTATTATCAAAGAGGGATAGATCTAGAAACCATAGGCCTCAGCTATAGTCATACACAAAATCACGCCTCTCAAAAATGTCAAATTTTTCAAAAAATCAACAATTTTTTTCTCGGCTCATACTGATTCAATTAATTTGAACCTTTCAGAGCATATACGTCTGCTACTAGGCACTTCAGGTGAATTTTTCCAATGTCTTCCAGTGTCTGATTGAAAAGTGAGGCTCTAAATAGTAAGAAAATGGGTCACGAATTTGCCCCCTGGGGTACACACTTTGTACTATTATTCAAATTCTGTAGGAGTGATTGGCATTATTTATTTTTCAAATGATTCATATATACAATGTCTATGTATGTAACTTAAAAACATCAAGATATCTAAAGTTATTGAGAATTAAAAAATTATTTTACCGGGGTGGGGTGTTTTTGGGGGGTGTGGGGCTAATCCCTGAAAAAAAAGAATTATGTACCACTCTGTGAAGCTATCACCTAGGTAGAATTTTCATCCAAGACTTCCCCCTAACTGAAAATGCTGTCAAACCAACTATACTCCATTTATTAAGAATTTTCCTCCTCGCTCTTAGAGTATAATGTCATATGTGAATTGTTGTTTTTAGAAGGTCGGCAAAGTCAGTACGATGCATATAATGGATTATAGAGCATTATACAAAAACTTTTATAAATAAATGCTTATGGAGTGATTACTCAAAATCTAAGATAATTCTATTGTACACAAGTACACAGTGCACTATACTCCTATTACCTAGTCGTGCATTGTATGATAAATCTCTGTTTTAGGAAAAGAACTGGATGTATCCGAGCTCAGTCTGTCAAACTTAGCCTTATTGCCTTATGTAGTGCGAGGCTGGCAGAAAAATACAAAGGTTGGTATATTTTGTGTAATCCCGACCTCTTCGTGTTACATGAATTCTGTGATTTCAGATTAAATTTGCCAGTCGTCTTAATATACACAAAAATCAACAATAATTTAGAAAGCACAATAATAAACAACAAAACATAAACATCACCACCTGCCATTTTTATGTCATATTGTTATAGTTTCCAAATTTTTCGTGGATGGTGTTTGATGTCTGTAACAAATGGTGTCTGTCACAAATTATGTCATCTGTAACAAATAGCAAGTGGTGACATTTTGCATGTTAATGCCTTGTTTACAGATGTCAACTGCTGAACCCCCTCCACAAAAAGTGTCCACAATATATCACCATTGTGGTGGTGACAATAATAACAACAATAATTCCAAGTTTCTCAGAATGAAAACCATATTCAATGAATTTAGACGATGTTTGTATTGTTTCAGTGTTCTTCCATCAACTGTCCGATCACAACAACCATGTTAACAAGAAGAAAATGACTGCATTTCTAGTAGACCTTATGAGGGTAAGTTACTGAAAAAAGAAAAACATTTGACTGTTTTTTATTCAACCAATTATTTAAAATAAAGAACCAAAATACAATTCTTCTAAAAAATCCTTTCTCAGATTATTATCATCCTTTATAAAGATAGCCGTACGAGCACATTTGCATACAGGTGGAGGATTCAACCAGTGATTGAAGGGTTGTGGTTACATTCTCACTTTAATTGATTAACTTTAATTATTCCATAACCTAGGATTAATTCTTATTTAAAGGGAGAATATGAGCTCAAAATATTCTTAAGTTGAAACAATTTTTGTCAAGAGTTGTCAGTAGTATCTTGCTAGATCTGATTCTGCCGTTAAGTATTAAAAAATTCAAGTAATAGATTTAGCTTATTCTCTCCAGATCCCAGATTTGATAGATGAGAGTCGTGCCTTTGGAGGTCTTAATGTGGCTGCTGCAGTTGACAACTGTTTTGACAGGGTGAGTAAAATTTGTAGTGTTCTGTAATGAACTTTGCTATGGTGTACTGCATTTTGCTGTAGCGAACTTTACTATCCTGTACTGTACTATGCCGTGCTGTTCACTTTTATGCTGTAATGCACTATGCTATTCTATACTGTTTTGTGCTAAAATTCAAAATACTGTACTGTATCCTATAGTGTTTGCTAGTTAAGGCCCTCTATAGCTAAAATAAACTGCCTCAATCTAAAATCTTCAAAAATAACTTATACAAAAAAGCTTTTTAAAATATATAGAATCTCATGCCAAATTTATCAAAATTTTCAAAATGAGCCTGTTCATTGACTTGCAAAATTATTTCCATTCAATAATATTATCATGGTTGGGAAACTTATGTGATATAATCAGTCTGTAATATTGTTCACCTGTCTATAAGATAGCAGAATGCCACTTCAAGATTACTTTGCCTGACCAATCATACTTCCGCATTATACTGACCACCTAACCACCTCAAAGCTTAAGTTTTTAAATTGAGAGGTTTTATAAAAGAACTGATCCATATTTCAGGCTTGGAGTAGTGTGGGCGTGTCTCAGGAGTCATTCATTGATTGGCTGCTAATGGAGCCCCAGACATTGCTATGGTTACCCACTATGCATAGATTAGCAGCTGCAGAGTCTTCCAAACATGAATCAAAGTGCAATATTTGTAAAGCTTTCCCAATCATAGGATTTAGGTAAATGTTTCTACAATATTCTCACATTATGAAAGCAGTTTCAAAAATTTTCCTTTTTTGTTCAAGTTTTTTACCCCCCGGTTCTGTTTTGGTTCTGTTTTTTCAGTTCTCATCTCACTTAAATGAAATCAATCAGGTAACCCTTACTGATACTTTATTTATCATTTGATTATGGTCTGGAAACATGAAGTCAGCAAATTTCTATTTTTCACACATACCTTTCTCATACACCAGTTCGACACCATTTATAGATCTTTTTTGCAATTTATTGGAATATGATTTCGGTCAATGAGACATCATTGCACAAGAATCAGATACAAAAGATTTTATCTTATTTATTTCAAGAGACAATTTTATTTTCAAATAGATAATTCCTCTCCCTACAAAGCGAAAGCATATACCATTTGTAAACTTATGCCATGGAGGTAAAGAAATTTATCTCCTATTAAACGGGTGTTTCTTTTGCAGATATAGATGTCTAAAATGTTTCAACTATGACCTTTGTCAGAACTGTTTCTTCACTGGGAGATGTTCCAAGAAACATAAGACCAGCCACCCAACTCAGGAATACTGCCTTGCTGTAAGTAACATATTAGTAGAGATAATGCCACACTCTGATATACACCCCACCTCGGTAACCATGACAACCATAACTTTAACCAATTTAGACTATACTGTATGTGATTAAAGTTGGTAACACATTGTATTAATATTCCTCTACAATCTGTAGCAATTTCATTTCAAAAAACCTAAATCTCTTAAAATTAGAGTATTTTTATCTTTACTTTCCGAACACCCTGTATATGTCCAACAGGTTTTTATGTTCATCATATATGAGGGAATATACTAGTATATCATATATGTACTTTGTACTTCATGATCATGGTGCTGCATAAGCTCAAGCCCCTAGTTAGTAAGCTTCTAAAACCGTCATAGTTTTTTTGTACTGAAAAAACTTGGAATGCAAAAATCAAACAGGTATTAACTATTATACAGTATCCAGTATACCACCATTTTACAATTAACATTTTGTTGACTTGCAGACATCATCTAAGGAAGACACTAAAGCATTTCTAAAGACTGTGAGGAACAACTTGAGCAAAAAGCATTTGAACCCAAATAAGCAGAGATATCTGCCAATCAAACCAACAACAAATGGCAAAAATAATAAGTAGTAAGTTGGGCTGCCAATTTATTTGAAAATAAAATCATGGTAAATTTCAGATCTTGAATATATTGTCATTTCCTAAAAATCATTTAATGAAATCTCACAATGTAATAATATCTAATAATGAATAAAATATACTCTTAGAGGAATTTGTTTTTGATTTACCATAACAGTACTTACTTGTTAAATTTTCCAAATTGAACTGTTCTGAATTTTTCTGATCTTTGACACCTCTGTGTTTTAGTGTACCGCAAGTTTCTGATGAAGATGTCCACAAGGCCCTGACTAAAGCAGCTTCTAAGCTGGCAGAGGCAGAGCTAGATCCCCCTGTAGACACAGTGGATGCAGACCTGTATTATACTGAACCGCCTCCTGTCATTAAGGTAATATATAGTACTTCAAAACTACTTTACTTTTGAATTGTAAATACTGTATGATATACCTTGATTGTGTCTGATGTCCTGAAAGTTAAATCGAAAAGTTAAAATTTGAATAATTGTAATTCATTGACTTAATGTGCACTGAATCTCTCGTTGTGGAACAAGCCCAAGTAGAACACTTTTTGGCTCAAATAGTGAACCTATGAAATCACCCACTTGTTTGTCCGTCTTGTATCTGTCCATTCTTCTGAACCAATGCTCCTATCCATTTAATAGGGATTTTCACCATTGGTCCAATTTCTTTTTTTTGTTTTGAAGAAGTTGTTTTTTCACCATTATGCACTGAATGGTGCCATTTTAGTGGAAACAAGGTTGTCCCATAATAGACAAGGTTTGACTGTAGATATTAATTTTTATATAAAAGGTTGACTAATTGCATGGTTTACATTGTTACCATGTACCCTATGGTTGGTTGACCATTGAAAATAAATGTTGTAGACATCCCCAGCACAATCTAATAGCCACCATACATCTAGGGAACAGCATGCTTCTATGGACAGAGAGCAAAGAGAACTAGAGGGAATGGTTTATCACTTGGAGGAGGAAAACAAGTTAGTAAACTTGATAACTAGAGTGTAAACATTGAATGTAACCTACATATACAGTAGGTTACATGTGGACATATTTTTCAAATTAATTTTGAACAGGATGTGTTTTCATGTTAGACAAAGAAAAATATGTAAAATATCCCCTGTCACCAAAAAAATCTTAATTGCCTCTATTTCTCAGGGAACTCCTTCAAGAGATCGAGAATCTTTATCATATAAGACAAGAGCCTGAAAACTCTGAATCGGATAGGACTGAGCTACTGGAACAGGAGAATGAGACATTGGCTGTTAAACAGGACATACTAGAAGAGCATAATGAGAAGTTGGAGAACCAAGTTAAACAACTCATAACACTTGTAAAAAAAGTAAGATTATTAATTAAATTCTATTATCAGATTTGAATGTAAAATTATGAAATAGAGACAAAACATATTTTGTGGAATAGATTTGCAGTCATAGTATTTTCCAAACACCTGTTTCCAGTTGAGTCAAACACACAGTCTTACTTTCAGCTTAACGTACCAAGTCCCGAGGGGAGTCCGGACAATTCAACTTCTCAAACAGGATCCTACAATGTACAACCATCAGCCTATACAAGTCCTGGTGTCATATCTAGACCACAGAGATCATCTGTCCGGCCACCTGCTTATGCTAGTCCCAATCCCAGCTTTGAAATGCCTGATACGTCCCCACGTAGGCCACATGTGTCTCAAGGTCCTATGAAGGATATCTCTAATCTACAAGGTGTTGAATCTAGGCTACAATCTCCGCCTGTTAAGCCTGTGTCTCAGCCTTCCACATACCAGCCTCTTCCCTCCAACCATGCTACCCCTCACAATCTCAGAGACATTGTTCTGAATCGAAATATTACAGGAACACAGCCATATCTGTCTACAACTCCAACTCCCCATAGAAATCTTACCCTACACCCTAGTAGCGTAATTCACTCGCAACCCAGCATGTGGTGGGATTCTGTTGGACGTTCTTTGCAGCAAACACCTAATTCACAAAATATGAGTCCCACAAATGAAATCTCTCCAAATAGCTATATGCATAGTGATGTAGAACATCCAAGACATAATTCCTCAAAATCTGATACATTTCAAGACTTTGGGGATAGCATGTTTGACTCTACAATGAATCCACTCAGTCAAACCCACTTCAGTCTTCCTTCATTTGACCAGACTCAGAATTATGCAGATGAGGAGGCGGAGCTTGAAGCAATGATTGCCAGACTTGACTCTGCCTACCCAGCTAATATGTCAAGATCCAGTAAGTTTAAATTTTGATTTGTACTTACATGGCAAGATAAAATTCTGTAGAGTAATTCATTTTGAATTCAGACTAAAATAATAATTGTTTCATCAGTAATTGAAAATGAAAAATCTACATTGAGTTTATTCTGTTTTCAGTCCTCTCAACCCCAGGGGGTCTTGATCGCGGTATTACTGATGCAGCAGGGAGAATAGGAGATGCTATGACAGGACTGGTTGGCCATGTAGGCCATAAATAGAATAGTTTTAATGTACTGTAAACCTAGGAAGTTTTGGGTTGCTTTTTATAATTTTCCCAATTTTTGAAAACAGCTTATCATATATATTATTTACTGGAATCTGGAATTCACTATACTAGTGAATTAAAGATGTGTTGGGAATTTTCCAGGATATTGCAGTTGATAGTTTAGTTCAACCCTATATGATATGAAGGTACATTATGATATGAAGGTTCATTGTGATATGAAGGTATATTTTCATAATGTAGAATTGAATAGAATGACAATAGTACAATAACGTCATTTCTAAGGGCAATATAGTGAAATATTGGACCGAGGGCCGAAGGCCCAAGGTCCAATATTTCATATATTGTTCGCATTATGACGTTATTAGTATTCAGGGCTGAAATAGCAAGAAAATCTTACGCACTGAACGATATCTAATTTCCCGGGGAAAAATTGCCAGTCCAGAATATATTCTAGACTGGTCCATATGGACCACCACTATGACGTCACACATTTCTCAGGTCGATATAGTAAAATGAAAGCCTTCTAAACTAGCACTAAAACCCCTAGAACTGGCCCGGCAAGGTGGTAATAATATGCATTCATGTGTGATAAGTGTGTTTGAAGTGTCATAATATTTAACTGGTTGAAATTGTTTGATCTCATATTTATTTAAGGTTCATGTAATAATATGTTTAGTATGAACAAAAAATATACACTTACAGAATCAAATTGTATGATTTTTTCATAAATTTTCAAATAGCCATCTTGTTATGCAATATAGTTGATATACATGTAATGTATACACTTATGGTATATACATAAAGCACTTAAATCGGTATATGGAGAATTCACTATTCTCTCTTTATAAATACACTTTATGTGTATTAATATATTATTTGTTTGAAATAAACTAATATGTACTTATTGCAAGCTTACCAATGGTGATCTGTTATTTTTTGAAATTTAACTTAATTTTTAATTACTACGTGGCCACGTTTAAAAGGGGTGAAGTTGCAAATGTAGAATGTTTGTTTATTTCCATATTTTTAAGGTAGATTAGATCTTACATATTACTGTATATTGTGTATTGTTAATACCAGAAAAGCCCCATAGACATAGATAGAGAATACCTGCTCCATTTGCAACTTCACTGTAGCCTGTATCCCTTTTAAACGTGGCCATGTTGTAGGGTAGAGTGAAAATATGCAGTGACCTTGTGAAGTTATAAAAAATAATAAATGACTACAGGTGAACTGTTGTAAGAAATAATTGATTTTATGTTGACTTGAATAGCACGAACCACTTCATTGTTTTGCTACAATTTTAAAATAGATATCATAAGTGGGATTTATTATGCCATCTATGTAGTTAGTCATTTAGTCCAAATACTAGAAAATGGTGACACCTCCAAGAAGTAAACAAGGCATTAACATGACAAAATGTTACTACCTAGTGCTCACAATATTATGAGTTCAATCTTAGTCAGATTTTAATTTCTGAGAAGTTGTAGATGATTTTGAAAAAAAGAAATTGTTCAATTTGAAGCAAGTTGAAAAAAAATTTATGACCCTAAGAAGGTCAATGAAGGTGAAATCTCGGATTTGAACTTTTGAAAACATGTAGATGATTTAAAAAAAATATTGGTCAATTTAAAGCAAGTTGAAAAACGACCTTTTTGACCTGGAGAAGGTCAATGAAGTACTTTTCATTTTAATTTGAAGTCCAATAGGTTACATTTAGGCAGCATTAAGTTTTCAGATGAAAACTGTCTTTCATATGATATAATCTCATACCCATTTTATAGGGTCCATATATACTGTTAATTTTTTACACCATAGGTCCAAGTTCCAACATCTGTCTCGTTTTGTGCCATTTTAATTTTCACATACAAATGAATTTGAGACTTTTTGAAGACTTAGACTTGGATAGATTTCAGAATTAATACAAAATTCCCACATTTTGATGGCCAAATGAGATTTTTGATTTTTGAGATGTTTCATGTCCAGTGAGTGTGCCCTGTTTCAAAATTTGGGGCATGTTTTGTAAATGGCCATAAAATCTTGACCATTGGGACCTATGAATCTTTGTAGAATGAAAGAACATTGAACAAGGTACATCTCACCTGATTTATTCAATCTAATTCAATATTGGGTTTCATAAGCAAACATCTCGCCTGATTTAATCAATTTAATTTAATATGGAGTTTCATAAGCAAGACTCTCCAGTGCTTATAAAAATGCATCCTGGGATTGTTCAGTGTTACTCTTTTATTATAAGAAAGCATGAAAAGTGAAACACAACATTCAAATCTTAATTGTTTACTATTTATTTTCAAAATAAGTTATCAATTCAAAATACAAAGTATTAGTATTTCATGGGGTTACCATTAAAGTGCACATTTGTTGACTAACCGGGGCCAATTTCTCCAAAATTTGTGACGTTTCGGTCGGTAAATCAAGTGTCAGTAATTCAATAAAATCAAAAATTATTCAATAAATCTGAGAAAGAACATCTGATTTGCAGATTTGGAACTTAACAATGTTTGGAGCATTTGACAGCAAGAAGTCAAGGTTAAAACATGATCAGGGCAGCAATATCATAACATGATATGGTTCTGTATACTAAAATATTTAACAATAACATTTGAGACATTCATGTACAAATAATCATGATAAAATAGAAACATTATACGAGAATAGTAGTTTTAGTAGTTTGACAATGCAAAAATCAATTTTTCATTTCTGGTGATATGATATCTTACTAAATATAATACCGAATTAAACTTCCTTTGGTTTTCTCGATGTGTTTGTGAAAATACATGCACAAACACCATATTAAATATAAAATCATTTCCACAAGGCCCTATCTATGCCTAAATTCATTATATTAATAAAAATTAATACTGGTATCGGAGTATGACAAAAACTTATACCGGTTTCTCAGAACACTTGAAACCAAATAATAATAATTCAAAATAAAAATTGGTCTAGTAGAAGTAACCTAGCAGTAGCATAAACCTGGCTCTAATTTGAAGAAATTAGATGGGATAGAGTGTAAAATGTTGGAATCAATCTTCAAAAATCATGCCATTGTTCCAGTTCAATTTCTGGAAAAAGAATTGAGAAATCTGAAGGAATATAGAGTTTAATGAAGATTTAAGAAATTCGTTAGAATTCATTATTATTTCCAGTTAACCATAAAAATCAAAGGATTATCTTGAAATAAAGTCCAACCAGTTGGGCTTCCAGAAAATAGGTTTAACAAGAGCAAAAATATTATTAATGTGGCTCATTTTTCAAAATTTACTCTCAATCAATGACAAAATTCTACTCCTAACTTACAATAAGCTTACATAAATCCTACATAAACTTTGAATCAAAATCTTAATCTATATCCGCAATAATTCAGCTTTGTATTGAAATTCAACCTCATAATAATTTAAATTAACAGAAATTGCAAGTATTGCACCATCTCTTAAAATAAATGAGCTTCTATTGTACCTTTGATTCCACTTATGAGACAACAAATGATTTGTTGTTAAGATATTTTAAGATCCAGTAATTAGAGGTTATGTCACTATCGTGGCATATATGCCCGAGGTCTCAGTGATATATGGCCCGACCTTGGGAAGGACATTGATCTCTGAGAACCGAGGGCATATGTACCACGATAGTGACATAAACGATTTATAACATACCTATGATGATGTAGACTGGTCAGAGAGTACCGTTTTCTTATAGAATTGACAAACAAATGGTTTGAAAATGATTGAAATAAGTTTAGAAAAATTGCTCGCGCAGTTTTATCTTCGATTGATTGGTTATGACGTCAGCGCCTTGACCAATCAGAAAGTTAGCAGGCGCGGGCTTTTCAAAACTTATATTGGCCCGCTGTCTTGTGTACACTTTGCACTATACATCATCATAGGTATGTTATAATTGAATCATATGATAATATCGATTTTATTTATTACATATTTGAATGATAATATAGAAGCGGCAGGATGATATACTTTAACAATTGATTTATTTCATCTAGCATTGAGATATAAGACTAACGATTTATTTGATTATTCAAATTTTCAGATTGCAATTTCTACAATTGTACTGAATTCTTCTGATATTTCTTAAGCTACAAAATATTCATTTTTCTAATTGAATTAAGCAAAACCACTTGAAATATTTTAAATATTGAATTTACTAGTTACCTCATAATCAATTTGAAAAGGATATTTTACTTTCTGGTTTGGTGCTCCTAAGGAAAAAAAACAAACAAACATTCCTTCGATTTGGGTAAGTTCATCACGATTTCATAAGAGGCCTCAAAGCTCCTGTATTAACTTAATCGACTTCCTGACTCAATTGTAGATATATGGGTCAGCTTAGCTGTGAGGGCTCTAAAAATAATGTTAAAATCCGATAGAGCTCTCTCTATATGGGCTGGGATAGAACACCACTTGGTCCTACTGGCTTGGTGCTCCAAAGTTGATGGCGAGTCTGCTTCGTCCCTTTCTAGGCTTGGGTTTAGCACCATCTGAATTTCTAGGGGGTGATTTTTTTGATTTAGCCTGGGGTACAGTTTTACTAGTATTTTGTTTACACTGTTCTGAGGGTGCATAAGGTTTACTAGAATCCAAAGACTTTGATTGCTGTTCACTTTCTTCAGTCTGTGAAATCTGTTTGTTTTCATTTTCTTCAGGATCCGTTTCTTTCTTTAAGCTCCTCTGAGGCGTGACTTGTTTTTTTGTCACCTGCAATCCAGATATCAAACTTTTTAGTGTAATACTTGCTGCCACAGAAAGATAATGTTTTAACTTTATAAATGTTTATTAGGTAAGTGGCATTTAAAATGATGTGTTTAATGATTATATAATTTACTTTCAATGAGGACAATGTACTCTTCCGAGAGCATATCAATATTATCACAAATTGTCCGTCAAAGCTAGAACACGGTAACTTAACTATTATCTGAGTTGTGTCACTTTGTGTGGAAGGGTTCCATAAAAAACTCATCAAAATTCCAGGAAAGAGCACTTACCTGTTCAACATGAAATTTTTACAGATGCAAATCAAATAACACCTACCTGCATGGGGACAAAAGCATTAGGTTTAGTAGGAGTTGATTCTTTCTGTGGAGTGTTTTCCCTCTGTTGCTGGATCTGTCCTTTTGTAGGGGTGTGTTTATTTGACCCTTGCTGTTGCCTAGGTCCTCCATGTTGCTGAAAGTTCAACACAAATCGAATATAATAAACTATTATAAGTACAGTGTACAGTCATCCCTTGTAAATATATCTGCTATTTTAAAAAGTATGAGTTGCAGTGAAAAATCAAAACTTCTAAAGTGTAATGCCCATATGGGCAGCCATTTTGAGACAAGAATGGGAATGGACATTGGTGGATGCACAATGAATTGAACAAACAGATGATATGAGCTAACACAGCATTTACATGCAAGATGTCACAACCTGCTTTTTGTTACACAGATGCAGAACTCCAAATGCTGACAGTCAAATGCAGACAAAAAAGACCATACATGCCATAACAATAATGGAAAGCATAAATGGTAAATATGACAAATAACATTTTAGACTCCATCTATTTATATATGTGTTTACCTGAAACGGTGGCTGGGCTGGATGGCCATTTCTCTGTTGAAATTGTTGATGGCCTCCCTGGGGGTAAGGCTGAGCCTGAGGTCTCTGTGGACCACCCTGGGGTCTTTGCTGGCCCCCCTGAGGGTGAGGCTGACCCCGAGGTCTCTGGGGACCACCCTGGCCTCCTTGGGGGTAAGGCTGACCCTGCGGTCTCTGCTGACCTCCCTGTGGGTGGGGATAGCCCCCTCTGAATGGCTGCTGCTGTTGGAAGTTGCCTTGGTGATGACCCGGCATGAAGCCTGGCTGTGTAGTGGGGTAGCCAGGGAACCTCTGTGGGCCCCCATGTAGACCCCCCTGTTGTTGTATGGCTCCTTGGTTGTTTATTGGGTACTGGCTGAAGTTTCCTGAAGGAATTAAAAAGCAAGCTACTGTACACGTGACTGTAAAGGTGTGGACCATTTTCTTTAATTTACCAAATTTATTTTTTCAATTTTGTAAATTAACATTTATATTCTCAAATGGACAACAGATTTCAAAGCTCAGGAATGAGTTATTGGTGATTTAAAGCGTGATGTTATTGAATGCAGGTTATACACATGGTTTAATTAAATAACAAAGAATTTTTAAAATAACATGTATTCATGAATTCAATCAATGCATATCAAATATCTGAAATTAAATTAAATTCAATTTAACAAACAAATCTCTAATGGGGACATAATTTACCTCTTGGCTGTACAGGAGTGAAGGCAGAGGTTGGGGATGTCATTATTCCCCCGCGTCCCATAATCTGAGGTTGCATTTGCTGCTGTTGAGGCCCTGGTCCATTAAAAGGAGGAACAGGGGACTTGGTTCGCTGAAAACATATTTCATGTATTTCACTAAAAAGGCAGCACTTTTACTACATGTAAATGGTGCAAATTATGGGAAATAAAGGAATCTCCCAAATGATGTGATGGCTGATATAGTGATACAAGTAATAATAACATGCATATAAAGAGTGTGGTCTTCCAAGCATTAAAACAGCTAGGTCGGATATTGGACCTACTTGAAAAGCAATAGGCATCTGTTGAAAATTCAGAAATCATGGAAAATCACTTCAGAACATAACATTCAACTTTTTACAAGGTCCTGGGTAGAACACTAGAAACTAGATGTTGGTTGACAGATGCATGCTAAGTTGCTAACAACTACTACATTTAACTTTTGACAAACAATGTCACAGATAAAAACAAAACAGAACATTTGAAGAAAATACAATAAAGCATCAATGAAAATAGCGAAAAAAGATAAGTTCTTCAATCTACTTCCAGGCATCATTGAAATTCAAACATTATGAAAATTTGCTGCAATTCTTGATTGAAGATGTTGCATTTCCCTGGATACACTGGATGCATGGCTTCATACCGATGGACAATTGTTTCTGCGAGACTTACCAGCTGCAACATGGCCATGCTGGCTGCACTGGCAGCTGCCTGTTCCTTGCTTTTGGTTGCAGAGCCCTGAAACTTTCTCCCATCTGCTAAGGCTATACAAGCAGACACCAAAGGCTGCAAAACATGTACAGTAAAACCTGCATATTTGAACGCCCTCACATCTTGCTAGTTCAAATAGAAGTTCTCTCAAAGTTTTGCACTATATCTCACACATAATTACATTGCTAAATCATCCACCTTTGTTAACAGTTTACAAGTGTAAAATCTTTTGCAATAGAGAGGCTCCATAAAATCATCCTGTAAAATCTTGGTGAACAAAATATGAGATGGTGGTTGGTTATAAACGGTCTAGTGCAAAGTCCAAGGATTACATCAACCAATAAGGTAAATGGCCAATTTTTGTAAAAAGTTTTTGAATTACTGGTGACTTCATATCAGACGATGTATTCCTGACCTAAAGCTTAAAGGATAAACAGCTTTTTGCTGGGAGTTCATATGTAGCATTTAACAGTATATTGGACTCGTTATTGTTCTAACAAATGTGTTCAAATTATGTCAGGTTTTATTGCATAACAACAAGCTTGCAATATTGAGACTCACATCTATATATTAAAAGTGTCACCACAACAAAGCATTTCTCTACACAGACAAATAGTAATATACAATATAAGAGACAGATGCATGTACTAAATGCCTTTGAAAAGAGATGATAGAAAACATTCCAAGATCTCAATGTTTTGGGGAATTTATGAAATTAAAATGCTAATGAGAATGAACTTCAATTCATATTACAAGGTAAACATGAAGATATAAATTAATGAAATATAAAGAAAACCGGATGAGTGGCTTTCCTTGAATAGGAATGATAAAATGAAGCTTATGATATTGAAAATTAATCGAAAAATTATTTTCATTTATTTTTTATTACTAACCCACATAGGCTCCTGATATGGCTAAAACAAGATAAACAAGCTGTGTAAATTGGTATAATTAATAAATCATTTCATGAGAGATGTAATATAATACATTTATAGCAACTATGGAAAATAATGAGAAGTCTTATCAACCCCATTTGTTATATAAACTCTCAGAAGTCATATTACTTAAAGGGATAAGGTGCGTAAATGAAGTCTCACTTTAAATCTTCATAGTATTGCCAATGGATAAATAAGTACCTGATCTTTCATTTGACACCAAAAACAGCTCAAACAGACCACATCAGAATTGACACTAGATCATGAAAAAATATTTTTGATCTATCAATTTTTATATGTCAAGTTTTTAGCAATGCGATAGAAAGATGGCATTGTTGTTTGCATTAATTATCCATTCATTTTTGATAGGATTTTCAAGCATACGCCATCTTTTAATCCAAGAGTTATTTAAAACATACACTTTGTGAAAAGTGGTAATTCACTTTTTTCAATCTCTGAACTTCAAATGCTGTTTTTCTATGCAAGTAATTTTTTTTTCACATCAGTATTATCCCAAATAAAAGTTTTTATCATATTTGATTGACTGTGTGAGTGACATGTCTCAAGTAATATTTTGTCCTTTTTCCTTCAAAAATAGGCATTGCCTGTTTAAGAGTACACAAAATACAGACACGGCCACTTGAGTTGCACAGTGTTCTTACCTTATTCTGATGTGGAATATAGTCATATTTGGGAGGGGCCATCTTCATTTGCTGACACCAACTAAGCAGTTGTAGTACTGCAGAGCTGAAATCAATGAAACCAAGAAGTTATATTATGTTATTCTGGCTATCTTTATTATGCAAACTGAAGGTACTGTAGTATGAGGTCATTACTTTGATATAGCCTTTTACATATGTGCTTCTTGAAATTAAAATTGAGTTGCCTGGAAAAATTGGATGAATATATTTCATTTGTTTGAAAGTGTCTAGTTATAATATTCAAAATAAAAGCCTAATTGGTGAAAACCCTTACAGAATCAAAAACCGAAAAGATCAACCCTAGTTTTGCAAAGTATCTTTTATAGATATGTAGCTAACACAATCTCTTCTAAAAGTAAGTCCACATCATAATCAACTTAAGTTTCCCAGGAATCACAAGAACCTCAAAGATAACAAGGCACAGACGTGAACAATATCGTATCTAAAACACAGCAGTGTGACAGTGAAGAATTTAGGACAGAAAATCCAAAATGGCCACCTTAAAATTTACCCAGAATGCCCAAAAACTAATCAGTTCTTAACTTTGATACGTAGAAACATCCCTGAAAATTTCAGATGAATCCCTCAAATGGTTTGGCTGGAAACCTGTAGACAAGTCTTGAAAGTGAAGATTTTAGGACGGAAAATCCAAAATGGCCACCTTAAAATTAACCCAGAATGCTCAAAAACTAATCAGTTGTTAACTTTGATATGTAGAAACATCCCTGTAAATTTCAAATGAATCCGTCAAATGGTTTGGCTGGAAACCTGTAGACAAGTCTTGAAAGTGAAGATTTTAGGACGGAAAATCCAAAATGGCCACCTTAAATTTTACCCAGAATGCCAAAAAACTAATCAGTTCTTAACTTTGATACGTAGAAACATCCCTGAAAATTTCAGATGAATCTGTCAAATTGTTTGGCTGGAAACCTGTAGACAAGTCTTGAAAGTGAAGATTTTAGGACGGAAAATCCAAAATGGCAACCTTAAAATTTACCCAGAATGCCCAAAAACTAATCATTTCTTAACTTTGATACGTAAAAATATTCCTGAAAATTTCAGATGAATCCGTCAAATGGTTTGGCTGGAAACCTGTAGACAAGTCTTGAAAGTGAAGATTTTAGGACGGAAAATCCAAAATGGCCACCTTAAAATTTACCCAGAATGCCCAAAAACTAATCAGTTCTTAACTTTGATACGTAGAAACATTCCTGAAAATTTCAGATGAATCTGTCAAATGGTTTGGCTGGAAACCTGTAGACAAGCTGAAAAGTGAAACGCCGCCCGCCCGCCCGTCAAGCTGATGACAATAAAGGTACGATAAAAATTAATGAAATTAATTATCATTGCCTGAATGATCATTTGTACAGCTAACATGAACATTTTACTTACGACTGTTGGTTGGCTTGTTTCACAGTCTTTGGCTGATGCCCATCTGATTTGGTAGGTGTACTCTGCTTCTGTGCACCTAGAAGACATAAATAATCATAACCATCCTGGATTCAATTTTAAAGTTTTAAACATTTTAAACATTTTTCACCTTTCTGATTAGTTATAATGTTAAGGTACAATGGACATTACATTTCTTGAAAAAAAAAATTTACCCCGAAACAATTCTTGCACCGATACTTGTTTTCCATAAGTTTTGTTAGTCGTGACATCTGTTGCCTCTTTTGGAGTTGACTTAGTTGGAGTGCTGCCACCTATCTTTAACATTTCACACAATGCTGCACTTGGGTCCTAAAATTAAAATATACCAAAAACTCAATAGCATCCAACCTGAAACTGGTCAAAACTCTATAGCCTATCTATTATTTAGGACCTCATCGGTTTTACTCACAGGAGCCACAAAAGTCTCACATTACTTTAAACAAAATCACAAGCAATATTTACAATATTTAAAATAAGGCTAAAACAAAGCAATGTGCAAAATGTCACCATCTGCCATTTGTTACAGATGCAAACAGCCAAACACTGTCTTCAAAATAGTTGGAGACTACAACACTTGTGGTGACATAATAAACACAATAAGGAACATAAGCTCAAAAATTCTGAAACTGAAACAATTTTTGAAAAAAGTTGCTGTCTATCTCTGATTCTCATTTAATAGCATACCTTATCCTGACTTGACTCAGGTTGCTTTTTCTCCTCAGACACTTTAAGTGAATTAAACAAATCGTTGAACTCTTCATTGTCTTTCGTAGCACTTGGCTGTTCCTTTGCCTTAAACAGTGTATCGACATCAACTCTTGTCATCTGTTTGTCCATCGGTGCTTTGACGGTTGTGTCCTCTTTGGGTTTTACTTTATCAGGAGTGGGTAAAACCTTGGCTGCCTGTGCTAATATAGAGTCTTCAGTTACAGCTGAGGATTGTAACTGTTGCCAGATATTTGCAAACTCATTGTCTTGTTTCGGCTGCAATAACAGATAAACAATAGTTACTATGGCAATGGTGCATTTCTTAATATTTTATAAATGCAATAATACTCCTTACACTATTGTTTGGTTAGATGCAGAAGTATAATTGTTCAATAAATGAGGTACAAATTGCTTCAAATTGCTTCTACATACATAATGTTCATTGTTAAAGTGTATTGGATGTTGAATTATTTGTACCAATGCAATGTCCGATCCTGAATAAGGCAAGAGCAGTTAATGTCTGTACTCAATATTCTTATGATTTTGACTTTGGATAAAACATTTCCAAAAAATGTGTCATATACCATATTATAAAGTTGATTCTTTTGAAATGATCAAAATTTGTACAAAGGTTTTGATGTCTGAATCTTTTTTATCTAAAAAAATTTCCCTTCGAATTGAGGTTTTGACATTTTAATCTTTAAAACCAAAGTTTTAGTTGAAAAATTAGTACCGTGGGTACTGGGCTCACATGGTGACAGAAAATAAAAAAAAACTGATATAATTTTTTGCTGATTTTTTGTAACAAAATTATTTCAAGCCACTTGCCACTATTTTGGACTGACTGAGAGACAGATTGACAAATCGATGTTAAGTAAAATGGCTGAAAAAAAATGGATATAATTTTTTGCCAATTATTTGTAACAAAATTATTTCATCCAACTACCATTGACATGGCTTTTTGCAATGCAAGACACCTGAAATTATTTGTAAAGCTAGGAAATGGGCCAAAATTGAATTTGCGAGACAAAAATGGCGACCATTTTGAAATCAGGCAAGCTTTTGAACCAGGAGTCTTAGTCATAGTTTTTTGTATTGATGTTGAACAAAAATATCTTGAAACTGGAATCCTATCGACAGAGGTTTTAAGCAAATGGTCCAAAAGAGGATTTCGCGAGACAGATGGACAAATCAATGTTAACTAAAATGGCTGAAAATAAAAAAACGGATATAATATTTTGCCAATTTTTTGTAACAAAATTATTTCATACAACTACTCTTTACAGTGACATGGCTTTTAACAATGCAGGACAGCTGAAATTATTTGTAAAGCTAGGAAATGGGCAAAAAGTGAATTTCGCGAAACAAGAATGGTGACCATTTTGAAAATATGCGAGCTTTTGAACCAAAAGTCATAGGAGAGTTTTTTGTATTGATGTTAAACAAAACCAGAACAACGGCAACGCCAAAGCGTAGCGAATCCCATCGAACAGCCATGGATGGCATTAATACAAACAAAGTATATAGCAAAAATGGCAGCCATTTTACAAAATGGTCGCCTTCTACCAAAAGTGTCATTAGACCATGTGCCATGCTTATAGTATTCACATACCAAAAATAACCAAAATCCCTCCACTACTTTTCAAGTTATAGTAAAATACGTTAAAATGGCGGCCATTTTTCAAAATGGCCACCTTCTACCAAAAGTGCCATTAGACAGTGTGCCATGCTTATAGTATTTACATACCAAATATAAACAAAATCACTCCACTACTTTTCAAGTTATAGTAAAATACGTTAAAATGGTGGCCATTTTGAAAAATGACCGCCTTCTACCAAAAGTGTCATTAGACAGTGTGCCATGCTTACAGTATTCACATACCAAATATGAACAAAATCGCTTCACTACTTTTCGAGTTATAATAAAATACGTTAGAATGGCGGCCATTTTTCAAATTTTTTTTCAAAATGGCTGCCTTCTACCAAAAGTGTCATAGGACAGTGTGTCATGCTTATAGTATTCACATACCAAATATGAACAAAATCGCTCTACTACTTTTCGAGTTATAGTAAAATACGTTAAAATGGCGGCCATTTTGAAAAATGGCCACCTTCTACCAAAAGTGTCATTAGACAGTGTGCCATGCTTATAGTATTCACATACCAAATATGAACAAAATCGCTTCACTACTTTTCGAGTTATAGTAAAATATGTTAAAATGGCGGCCATTTTTCAAAATTTTTTTCAAAATGGCCGCCTTCTACCAAAAGTGTCATAGGACAGTGTGTCCGGCTTATAGAATTCACATACCAAATATGAACAAAATCGCTCTACTACTTTTCGAGTTACAGCAAAAATTGTAAAATAACGAGTAAAGGCCGCCATTTTTCAAGATGGCTGCCATGTGCTTCTTTAATATCTACATTTCTAGCTTTATTAATGTCCTATATAATTTTTTTACATCTAAAACATATTGCTATTACAGTTTTACATATTGCACCTAAATTACTGTAAATTCGGCACTAAAATGGCCACCATTTTTAAATGAGCGGCCATTTTGAAAATCGGCTTTCGAGCAGAACTTCTACCCCCATAGGGTATATGTGTACAAAATATGAACAAAATCGTGCCAACGGTATTTGAGTTATTGCCCGGACAGACGGACGGACGGACATACGTACGGACGGACGTACGGACGGACGGACGGACGGAGGTGTTCCCTATATCCCTCCGAACTTCGTTCGATGGGATAATTAAGTTAAAACGGGAATCCTATCAACAGAGGGTTTAAGGCAAATGGTCCAAAAGTGAATTTTGCGAGACAAATGGACAAATCAATGTTAACTAAAATGGCTGAAAAAAAAATGGATATAATTTTTCGCTGATTTTTCGTAACAAAATTATTTCATACATCTACTCTTTACATTAACATGGATTTTTACAACCTAGGACACTTAAAATTAAGGAAATGGGCCAAAATTGAATTTCGCGAGACAAAAATGGCGACCATTTTGAAAATAGGCGAGCTTTTGAACCAGGAGTCATAGGGGAATTTTCTGTATTGATGTTGAACAGAAATAACTTAAAACAGGAATCCTATCGACAGAGGTTTTAAAACGTGCCACTGTTATTGACGGAAAGTGGACAGACGGACAGACGGACAGACGGACGGACAGACAGACAGATGGACAAGTGAGTGATTGCAAAAGCTCACCATGTGAGCTAAAAACATCAGATACCTTTGGTGCTCTACTCTCGTACATCTTTCTTTTCTGCTCCTTCTGTTGGAGGTATTGTTCACGCTGTTCCTTCAAATCTACTGGTTGCTGTCTATGATTGTCTTTTTGCTGTTGTTTATGCATGTCATTCTGTTTTTTAGGTGTGTCATTCTGCTGTTTATGTGTCTCATACTGTTGTTTATGTGTGTCTTGTTGCGATCTAGTTGACTGTTGTTGTTGAGACCTAATATTTTGTTGCTGTTGCCTAATGTTGTTATCAACTGCATATTGACCCTTCGCACCCTACAATAAGAAAATGTCTGATACAAAGAAGCATGCAACTTATATAATGTAGAACAATTCTAGTTGAAGGTTTGAAAAATGAAAGTAATTACTTGAATCCGCATCAGAAATTCACCTAAAAATAAAGTGACATAACAGAATGAAAGATGTCACTGTCTGATGTCCCCAGTGAGTCACTATACTGCATTCCATTGGGAGGTTTATATAAGTGATGTTATAGAGACCAATCTTACCTGATTTAATTGTGCTTCATTTTGTTGACGATGATGTGCTTCGTATCCCAGACCTGGTCTCCTCATCGGTCCATTTATTGCGACACTATTGGCATAAGTGATATTGTTATTACTGTTATTGTGTGCTCCTCTCTGTTGCCGATTCTGTTGATTCTGGAATTGAGGCTTAGTCGGAGTTTTCTTGATTGGAGTCGTTATACCTTGTTCCTTTCTAACTCCATGGCTGAGATTAATCAGGGAGGTACCAGGCATTCTATAGGCTTTGCTGGCTGAACACCTAAATGACAAGATTACATTATGTTTATCACTGACTCTAAAGAACAAACAGGACATAAAAATGATGTTGCAGTAAATTCTGCAGCTTTGAAGTGTTAGTAACTATTTAATTCTTTGAGTCATCTCATTGAAACTCCTCAAATTTGTAATGCCCTTTTATGGACATCAAAAATTCAAAAGAATAATGCTCATTTATGAACATATTATACAAAAAGTCAAAAGAATAATGTTCGTTTATGAACATCTTATACAAAAAGTCAAAAGAATAATGCTCGTTTATGAACATCATATACAAAAAGTCAAAAGAATAATGCTCGTTTATGAACATCTTATACAAAAAGTCAAAAGAATAATGCTCGTTTATGAACATCTTACACATAAAGTCAAAAGAACAAAGCATGTTTATGAACATCTTATACAAAAAGTCAAAAGAATAATGCTCATTTATGAACATCTTATACAAAAAGTCAAAAGAATAATGCTCGTTTATGAACATCTTACACATAAAGTCAAAAGAATAAAGCTCGTTTATGAACATCTTATACAAAAAGTCAAAAGAATAATGCTCATTTATGAACATCTTATACAAAACTGAAAAGAATAAACATTGTGTGCTCATTGGAACTGTACACTCATGAGAGAGAAAACGGTATGTATGTGTTGAATTTAGTGCATAAAAATGGATTGTGTGTTGTATTTAATCATAAACAGATGAGAGAGGAGTGTCCATCTTACCTGATTGTAAGACCTCCCATGAAGGGTGCATCAAAGACAACCTCATAGATGATATCCTGCTCTTTCTCAGCTGAAACACAACAATGTCAGGTTAACCATGGGAGTCTAAAAATCTCAGTTTGGAAAATTACATGAAAAAGTACTCACACAAGACATTTTGGGACAAGCTGTGTTCAGTGTATGTCTTACTATTTATATTGTTGCATTAAGTAAAATGGCAATATATTAACTTAAAAAATTAAATTCATTAATATAAATGAACACCTTCCAAGTAGACAACTGTTTTTTGGTACCAAAGAATTCAACCCTCATGGGTTTCACTGCATTATTATTTGATATATATAGTACTTGTTAGAAAATTTTCTCATTAGATTAATGATGGAACATAAACTTTATTGAGTGTAACTCTGTACGCCACTTAAGTTTTGTTGTAATACTATATTTATTCTGATTGGTATCAGCAAAGCTGCTAATACATATAGGTTATTTACTGGGAGGGATTGAATATGGGTTTTATTCCGAGGGACAATATGATATTGACCGAAGGGTAATATGATATTGACCGAGGGAGCGCAGCGACCGAGTGTCAATATCATATAACCCAAGGTCAATATCATATTTTCCGAGGAATAAAACCCATATTCAATCCCGACTAGAAATAACCTATTTATTCCATGATACACCCCTCCAAAATGCTACATTTGGATAATGCAAAAAAACTGGAAAAAATAACCAGGAAACCGAAAATAGGTTAATTTGTTCCAATACGATTTTTCCCGGGGACAATACGATTTTTTCATGTAATACGCTCTAATACGATTTTTTCCCGGGGACAATACGATTTTTTCATGTAATACGATTCAATACGATTTTTATTCCCTCATATTTCCCTGGGAAAACAGTAGTATTATGGAATAAAAATGCTTCTTCAGTGGTTAAGACTAAGAAAGTATTCTTAGATTGTGTGCAAAAGAACAGGCACATTTCATTTAATCCTTTTAATATAAATAAATAAATATTAATGAACATCTACTGTACATGTACCAAATTCTCAATTTAATTCACTATGCATAAGTATTTGTCTTCCAACATAATCAGCTTCTGAAACATTTATTTTCCACTGCATTTCTTATAAGCCTTTTCTTCATGTAAGAAGCCTACTAATTATAATGGGAATGAATGTCATGCTAGAGGTATTAAGTTTTATGTCACACATTATTCTACTATTCTGAAGCATTAAAGAATAAAGCTTTCAATTTGACTTATACGAGTGCCATAATGTGGATAATTTATGTATAATAAAACACATATTTCTATGAAAATGACATATAAATATTAAGCATAACAATTTCACATTGATCATGTCATTTGAAATTGATGAATGAAGCTATGTCCAACATTTTATTAATTAAAAGGGCAACAAGGTCTGTAGATAGAAAATTTGAAAATTTTTACTTTTTTTGAGCTATCAGGGCAACATTTGGCTTAACATCTTCTTTGACATACCTATTTTCTTAAAATGTATGGATAAACTATAAATTTCAGCATTAAGCAGTGTAAATTCAGTTCAAAGCTTCTATAAAGGGAGGCCCACTTATAGATTTTTAAGATCCGACACGTTTCAAGGGGGATATCAGCTGAAATGATGTTCATCCAGGGGGTTTCTTTGGAGATAATAAAAATATATGTTGGTCTTGATGAAATATCCAAACTTAAATATATTTTGACACCGGTCCATGAGCGTTGAATGACCCCTCTGCACTAATTGTTGCACCTTTAACAGATGTTACATACTAAGGCCTGTGTGTGAACAGATCTGCTGATGAAAATATGATACAGTAAATACACAGCATGCATCATATAATTAAAGTTATCACAAACCTCCAATAACAAATATGTTTACTTCGATAGAACATGTAAAGTATAAACACAATGTCAATGAGGTAAACAAGCAATTGTATTCTATTGTCTAGACTGTCATATAAATACCATTATGTAGAGAGTTTTCATGAACAAATGAAAGAATGAAAGGCCATGAAAGGATTTCCAAGGATACTGAACATAATCATGTCATATTATAGTCCTATTAATCATATATTTTATGTTTTTATAATGGTGCATCAATAACATACAGAGTAATAAGTAAGATTAACACCTAACATGATAGTTTCCAGCATCCATAATCTTTGCAAAGAATGTCATCATTCCAGCTATGTTTGAAGGATTTGTTGTTATTTAACATATTTAAGGTAGCTTTACACTCATTGGCCTGAAAATTAATCACTGATGAAGTAATAATCACTGATGAAGTAAAAACATAATGTTAAAATGTTTATTAATTCAACAAAACATGATAGAAATAATCAGGAAGTAGTATTGTCTTCTTTTGGCAAAATCAGACATCGCTGATGTGACATGATGCCAGATATTAAATTATGTCTTGAGCAGTGTTTTATAATCACAAGGCAATAGCGTAAAATTTGGACCAAATCTCGTAATCTGAGTCTCATAATCTGGTATTTGTGTTATCAGAAAAATCACAATTTTCCTGAGAAATGGTAGCCATTTTAAATTCCTATGACAACCAGAACAACGGCAACGCCAAAGCGTAGCGAATCCCATCGAACAGAAATGGCTGGCATTTTTACAAACGAATAGCAAATATCATAAAACAACACACCAGAAAGGCCACCATTTTCAAAATGGTTGCTCACTAGCCAAGTTGTCATCAGAAGAAATAATATGCTTTTAAGTAGCCACCTCTAAAATTTTTGAAAAATCGCACACGTACTTGTAAAATTACACACATAAAAATGGTGGCCATTTTTCAAAATGGCCGACTACTCCCCAAAGTTTTATTAGACAATGTGCCATGCTTAAAGTATTCACATATCAAATATGAACAAAATCGCTCCATTACTTTTCGAGTTATAGTAAAATACGTTAAAATGGCGGCAATTTTTCAAAATGGCCACCGTCTACCAAAAGTGTCATTAGAAATAGACAGTGTGCCATGCTTATAGTATTCACATACCAAATATGAACAAAATCGCTCCACTATTTTTTGAGTTATAGCAAAAATCGTAAAATGATGAGTAAAGGCCGCCATTTTTCAAGATGGCTGCCATGTGCTTCTTTAATATCTACATTTGTAGCATTATTAATGTCCTTTATAATTTTTTTACATTTAAAACATATTGCTATTACAGTTTTACATATTACACCTAAATTACTGTAAAATCGGCACTAAAATGGCCGCCATTTTGAAATGAGCGGCCATTTTGAAAATCGGCTTTCGAGCAGAACTTCTACCCCCATAGGGTATATGTGTACAAAATATGAACAAAATCGGGCCAACGGTATTTGAGTTATTGCCCGGACGGACGGACGGATGTACGGACGGACGGAGGCGTTCCCTACTATATCCCTCCGAACTTCGTTCGATGGGATAATAAAGTATTGGCATATAACATACGAATCAAATCTGTCAACTGGTACTTGATGATCATACATTACAAAAATGGCAGCATTCTTAACTGAGCGGCATTTTGAACATTTCGGAAAAAGTGAAGGCTTGGACAATTGGTTGTTGAAAATGAATACAGCCAAAAATGACGATTTCATAAACATGGTGTATAAATAAATATGACAATGATCAGTTCGATTAATTTAATCAAGACATGATTTCTGAACTTCAGTATTCATCTTATCTTGGCAGAAATCACACTGGCACGTACCTGTTCATGTTATGACAAAAATCTTTTCATCAGGTACTACAGGTAGTCATGGCAATCATTATGGTAGACAATAAATGTTACCCATTGTACCTGGTAACATTGATTTTTTCATTTCATTAATTTTACCACGAATGGAGTTTCTTAACATTTTGTAGCTCATATGATTATTTTCGTCAATTATTTATGTTGATCGCAAGATTACAGAATCAACCAAGTGTCAGGAGAGATATCGTGTCACATAATTAAAAACAATATATTCTATTCATTTGGGACGTGCAGGTAAGTAGGTATGTTAATGAAAGACCTACATTTGCATGTTCTATTCTCTATGATTCTCTTTGATCGAATACATATTCACATGCTCAAGATATTTAATGACACAACTTGTTTTAGGTAGCTATGACAATGGTTTATATTTGAATATCTCAGCCAATCACGTAACTTCGTAAGTCCAAATGTCATGCAAATTACAACTACGAACAGAGTACACTGGTCCTACACCCATAACGCATAAGCCTATAAAATTTGAACTTAATCCGTCAACTGGTATTTCAGTTATCATCCGGACAAACGAACAGATGAACATCTCTAGGTTGCACTCTTTATTTTTACATTCCTTATTCAACTGTACTCGTATATCTGTCTTTGTATTTGAAACTTTGAACAAGTTGTAAAGATTATTCAATAGCATGTGATGACTCAATATTATCTCATTATACACCCATTATGTATTACATCTTCCAAATTCAAAAGCTTTACATCAAATACATTGTCATGTAAAAATGAGAAAAAATTGACAAATAATAATGACATTTCAAGGCATTTATATTAATGGTAGTTTTCATCAATTAAATGCTCTTTGACAATAATGCAGAACTGGCCTTTAATCCCCTTTATATACAAATACAATAACTTTCAAAGGGGTTGGATAATAAATCAATGCTTTTGAAAGACAATGGGATCGCAATCGCAACATTCCGTCTAGCTTTAGAACAATACACGGTGGAAAGAACTGCTGGGATTTCTGATCAATATATACAGTTACGATTAAATAAACTTTTCAAAGTTACAACTGGGGAAATTCTAATAATGTATGGTGAGCTGATGGATGGGGGGGGGGGGGGTTGTAGTGTCACCATACTGAAAAAAATAGACATTTTTTAATCTAAAAAATTATCATGAGAATATGAATTAATCATGGTCTCTTTCAAACTCTGATTATCTGAACCCAGCCCAAAGTTTACTTTTCATATGGAATAGTCTATGACCTAACATGTTTATCTCATCTTATGATTTTTTGTATAAGAATGTGAAACAGATGGTATTTGAATTG